GCACACCGCCAAGCCGGTCGAATTAATTCCACGGAACCACGAGCCTGAGAAGATCGGGGTTGACTGCGGGGTGCTGCGTAAACCGGAGTCCAAGCACTTTTCGCTGTTGGACGCTCCTTTCTGTTTGGATTGGAGAAGGACGGCGGTTTGCTGCGGTGGATGCGCACTGCACGGACGCCGGCATGCTCCAGAGGTTCACTGGGTGTATGGCGAGGCGTTTCGGGGAGTGGGGAGCTTCTGCGGTAAAGTTTTTTTGTGGGAGATGATTGAGGTGCGGTGTGCGGATGGTGCGCCAATAAACACACATGGCTGAGGTGCTGCAATTCCCGTGAAATTGGGCGGCGCAGAGAGTCGGAATGCTGCGGTGCTGCGGGAACCGGCGCGTCAGGGCCGTCTGCGGTCGTGTTGTACGAAGGTGTCTGCGGTGCCGGGCAGGTAGCAGGGGAGCGGCGAGGGCACAGGAGGAGGAAAAGGCTGGGGAGGCAGCGAAGTGAGGTGGCGGATGGCGGTTCTATCGAAGTAATTTTTGGAGCATTTTGTCTTTGCCTGCGGATACGAGTTGTGCCCAGTGGGGTGCCCTGCTGTGCGAAGGAGGCACTGCGTCTCGTGATCTCACGGCAGCGCGCTTTTTAGGTTTTTTATTTTATTTTCATTTTTTTTTTTTTACCTTCTCCCACGTGCTGGCGTTACTAAAGACACCTGCACGGGATGGGGGCGGAGCAAATTATTCCCTTTTGCGGCTGCAGGGCGCTGCGCATAATTGGTGGGCTACCGTCTTTTCTTCATTCTCTCTTTCTTTCTCTATTCCCACCGCACTCACTCTTTGCTACCTCGACCTCCCTTGCTTTTGTTTCTTTCCTTCTCGCCCCTGCTGCCTCGCAGCGACTCTTCTCCTGTTACTACTAATACGACGGATGGCGATGGCGACGGTGCGGCACCGTGCGGTGTGTGTCCTGGCGGTCCTTGCGCTGCTGTGCGGCTGCCTCTCCTCCGCGTGGGGGGAGGTAGGTCCAACTATTCCTGCTGCCGTTGTGGAAGAAGTATGGTTGCAGGTGGAGGTGGCTTGTGAGCGGACTGAGGGAAATTTAAAATGGCGCTTTTCTGGAGAGACGGGTTGGCAAACTTGTGCGCCTGTCGCCGAAGCGAATGTGGAATCGCCAAAAGATACTTGCGGATGGCTGTGCGATAGCGCTGATGCTCTGTACAACGGTTCAAACTGTACCGATGCGTGTGTTACCAGGAGTGATGCCGTTGCGTTCACGATGCAATTTGCAAGAAGGGATGGCAAACAGGTGTGCAACCGCTCAGTACCAGCAAACAGCGCTGGCACTTTCTCTTCTGTTACGTCAGGTGTTTGCAATAAAAAAGCTGCGGATCAAACAACAACCCAAAAGTCTGCTCTGGAACCTGCTGCTAGACCATCAACACCAGCGGCAAACTCACAGGAGAAGGCCCCGGGGGAGAACGGCCCAGTGAGCAGTACACCATTGAAAGGGCTGGCGAAAGATGGTGGTGGCCCACAGCGCGAGGAAAAGGAGACAACTGACCAGCGGGGTAAGCAGCAGGTGGCTCGTGGAAATGCCGTTCAGAGCGGGCAGATTGGCAAAGTGCCCCAAAGCCGTGAAGAGGTCGAGCGTGCTGAGGAGGAGGTTAAGAGTGATATTGAGCCCAGCAGCGGCGCAGCTCCCACAGTCGAGCCTCCAGCAGCCTCTGCCCCTCTGCCTACCGGCGCTCCACCAACAATCCCCGGATCCCTTCCTTCAAGTAGCCAGTCTTTATATGACGTTGGCAACGAACACCAGACTGCTGAGGGCGCTCTTTTCCGTGCAGGTGGGGACACCAACGATACTCCAACCAGGCCGGCCGCAGAATCACAAGCGGGAGGTGATCCGGCGCAAAGTGACGCTCACGGTTCCCCGGGGGAAACGAATGCGGCGAGTGGCAGGGAGCAAGAAGGGGGTGCTGAGCGCCAGAAGAAGACGGAGCACGACACCAGCAAGTCAACAGGCCTTGCGCAGTCCGTTGCTGGCGCCGCACAGGCTTTGGTGCACAATACCACCATCAAGAGCAGCGCCACTGGGAACATTGTGACCAATTCTTCCGACGGCAGCTACACCACCACGCCGTTTGTGCCCACATCGCTTCTGCTGCTGCTGCTCGTGGCTGCCCTTGCCTGCGCTACTGGGTAATGGTGAAACGCAACCACACACACACACACACTGGCACAGACGCCGCAGACTCTTTGTGTGTTTATTTTGCTTGTCGTTTCTGTGGCGCAACGTCTCTCCTGTGCTTTGAGGGATTGTTTTTTTTGTTCTTGTTTTTCATTTCTTTCTTTTTTGCTTTTGCCTACTTCATACACGTTTCCAGTGGGTGCGATCCCTTCTTTTGTGTTTGCTGCTGCCA